GCAGCGTCTCGCGCGATTTTGTTGGGCCTGGTGGAATGCCCGATATGGGGCGGGAGGGCATCGCGCGGCCCTCGAGACGGCCCTGGAAGAACCCAGGTCGCCCGACGATCGCCCCAAGACGCTCAAGATGGCCTCGAGATGGCCCAAGAGGCCTCCGAGACGCCCAAACAGGGCCCCAAGAGCCAAGAGGGCCTTGAGATACCAACATAATGCATATTCCACGTGTGTTTCAATGCTCTGGGCGTCGATTATTCCAGCTCCCGACGCTCCACGACTGTCCAGGGTGTCCTCAGGACCGCCTCAAGACGGCCCACGAGGCCCCCCAGGCGGACCCCAGCACTACCCAAATCAGGCTCCAAGGCGGCTCCAGAGGCGCCCAAGACGACCCCAGAGGGTTTAAAGACAACCCCACGGAGGGCCCAGAGAGGGGGAACACGAACCGAAAATCCGAGCCCCCGCCCCAAGAGGCCCCCATGAGGCATCACGGAGGCCCCGAGAGCCCCCCCGAGAAGCCCCAACAGATCCCCAGGAGGCCCCGAAGACGCCTTCAGAAACCCCAGAACGGCCCCCAAGAGGCTTCAAACTTGTCACCAACCGAGAGGCCTCGCGCGACATCCCAACGAGCACCCAACAGACAGGCTTCCGACCCACAACCCAGGCTGGCGAGATGGGGAGGCCGTCAGATAAGTTATCTTCACGCCCCCGCCGCTCCCCCCCACCACCACCCCAAACATTGCGCACCGTCGTTCGGACTCAGAATTGCGCGTGTCACTCACCCCTCCCCCGTCCGCAAACATAACTTCGCGCTAACCCTCGACCTGACGCCCCCTGAGCGCCCGATTCTCGCATCCCTGTCCTGCTCGCTCGCACTGGTCTCATGGCGGTGCTGGCCAGACCAAGGTCGCGTCCTCTGAAGAGTGCGAGCCTGCTGCATCAGCCACTCGGCGGAGGCGTCCTCGATGTTGAGCGTGTGTGTGTGTGGGTTGACCTCTGCTCCAGCTGGCGTCGGACGGCAGCGTGCTTCGCCTCCACGCAGGTGATGTCCACCTGAATGAGCATGGCGAGGGTGAGCAGCACCTCCCAGAGGTCCTGGCCAACCAAGTCAGGGAAGCGGGCGCACAAATCTTTACCCCACGGCCCCTTCATACAGTCTGGGGTTCGGTTCAACGACTGCGCCCTGCTGCTATCCACGAGCAGCCCGAAGACTCTGAAGTGGAAGAGGGAGTGGTTCGACACGTGGAGCTGCTCCACCAGCGCGCCTTCCCGCGCGAGCAGGCGGAACGCCAGACAGTTGAACTCCTCTGTGTAGCACCTCTCTGGAAACGAACGCCAGCGATGCGGCCCAAGCCAGATCGCCTGGAGCTCTTTGAAGAAATTTTCCTCCAGTATGAGCTCGCGCGCGGTGACGATCCTGTAGTCCCTAGCGCCTAGTCCTGGAAGGCGTCCCATCTGATGCGACCTCGCCACGGCCGCCCTCTGGCTGAGCTCCCAGCGCAGGCTAGCCATGTCCAGCTGGTCGTGGAGCATGCGCATGATGGGATTGAGCGCGCACCTCAACAACATCAGGTCAGGCAAGGGATCTCTGGACAACCATTCGAGCGTCAACTTCCTGTCCTTGGCGTTCTTCTCTGCGAAGCTCGGCTCCGAGTCAGCGCGGCCAGTGTTGTCGACGACCTCATGTCGGTCAGCTGGAGCAGCGTCGGCGGGTACCTCCGCATCTGGCCCGTGATGGACGTGCGCGACATCATCGACCCCGCCGTCGTCCAACACACCAGCAGCACCATCGGCGCCCACCGCCCCGCCAATAGGGCCCGCGGGAGGTAATTCTTTGCCGAGGGTTCGAGAAAACAAAGGATACGTCGCAGACGCCAGCCCGTGCATTGCTTCGAGGCGCCCCCAAAAATCAATTGCGATCTCTGAGCCCGTCCACCGATGTCTCGGCCACACGCTAGGCTTCGCGCTCACCAGGGCGAAACTGAGACCGTTCTCGATGACGCTTGCCACTGCAGCTACGTCGATGTCGGTCACAAGCCCGTGTGGCACGCATACCTCGACGTAATCTCGATTCCTCCAGTCGCCGCGTGGAAGGCAAGCGACAACTACTTTCTTCACCTCCCTGTCAGGGCCAGTCTCGAAAAACATCTTGATGACAGATCTCTTGTACTTAACAGCGTCATCTGGCAGCCCCTCGGGGACGAGCTTGATCCTGGACTTGATCACGTGCCTCAAACACTTCCTAAACTGATTCAAATAGTCGCTGAGCTGCAAGGAGAGGGATGCGTGAATCACAAACGAGATCGTGCGAGGCATGAGCCTCTCAAACGTCTTGCTGTGGATACCTGCTGTCAACTTCGCAGAACAAGCGCAAGGACTCCCATCCATGTCGGTCAGACGCGATGCTGTTCTCCACGACGATGTTGGGCTTCGCGGAGTCAGAGCAGCAGAAGCGCATCCGTTGTTTGAAGCCGTCGCTGTATGTGGACACCGCGCAACTCCGTAACACTGCTTTCTTGCGCACTGGCGCAACCGTCGGCTCCATCGGCTGAAGGGGGCGCACAGTATTCAGATACAGCCGCACTTGGATATCGCCAACATTGACGAGCAACCACACTGCTTGGTTAATCAGCATGAGCTTCGTGACCATCGCAGCACTTCGTTCGTGAGCAGCGATGGCGTGCATGAGCCGCAGTGCCCTGCCAAACGGCAGGGGAACAAGAGCGTGGATATTGACATCACTTGCGGATCCTGCAGCAGCATCTCCCCTTCAGCGTCGTCCTCATTGGGGTCTCGTCGTAGCGTGACGTGTCGACGTACAGCAGGCACCGTTCTCTGCCGAGCGACTCCACCAGGGCGCCCTCGAGCTTCTTCCGCAACTGAACCTGGCACAAGAAATACGCCTCGGCAAAGCGGTGAAGCGCTTTCTGCAGGACCTGGCGGTCGTGGCCTGTCTGCCTGGCGATCTGAGACCAGTTCAGCACGAGCCCAGAGGAAATGCACCAATGTCGAGCCACGTCCAGGATGATAGGACGCTGCACAACACCAGGTGACATCCCCATTGCGACGCACGACTCAAGGTGAAATGATAATGGGCTGGGCGGCGCAAGGGGTACAACAGAAACTGGCATGCTCTTATCCCAGTCCCTCACGATCACACCCGTGTGTCTGGTCACCATTTCTGCCGCGGGCGCATGAGAATCAGACTCCGTTGGCCTTGGTGGCGAGTCCAATTCCACTGATTGTGAATCGAATTCATCTGATACGGAACGCACCCACGACGCTGGACGACCTGCTATCATTCGTTTCTGTGTCGGCTGGGGTGCCAGAGTGTCGTCCAGCGCATTCAACAACATGTTCGGCTCTGCGGCGGCTGATGCATATGCTGGGGCCAAGCTGGCTGCGTCGATGGCCGCCGCCGAGCCCCACGGGTCCTCTTCGGGCGGTTCGGGCTCCAGTGCGACTGTCGCTGCCACGGCAGCCCACATTATGAAGACTATGGACATATATGAACGAACATGAAGGGCTATCATGTTCAGAGAGGCGAGGGGCCAGAACCTCTCGAGCCAAAATGGCTAAAGATGGGATGGTGCGCAAGGGGAGCACAGGGGGCGTGGGGTGGGTCACCGTTCCGCGAAAATGCACAGACGCGGGGAATGATTATTGGGAGAGATGGGAGAGGCATTTTTGGGGCGTCGACCGCACTGTGCTGGGGGTCTCTCGGCAAGGCGCAACATTGCAGCTTGGCCCACGTTAGTTGGCCCGGAACGTCGTTCGGCGAGGCGCAGCATCGTGCTGCAGCAACGGGAGTCGCAGACATAGTAAAAGCTCTGGGCGAGGCGCGGGATTGTAAGGACTGTCTCTAGGCGAAACTCAATTTTGCATTGGCGTTTGAAGGTTTTGCGTCGCGCGTGCCCTCTCAAACATGGGGTGCGTGGGATGTCCTATGTTCGAAGCTGGGGCACGACTCATTATACATGGGGGGGACGTGTAAACGTGGCCATGGGAATTACGTTTTGCGACTTCGAAGCACTACGCGCTACTGTTGTCAGAAATGCATGTGGCGGCGCTTGAAATACATATAGCGCCGCACTGTCGAATCATGTTTCACTTTGCCCAGGTCAGGCTTTAACAGGCCCTGGGACCAACGAACAAACACAAGCAATCAAGGCCATCACTTGTCTGTACATGTGGCCTGCGCGCAACGACCGTCCTGCGCGGGCGTCGCATATCCGACTCTCTGTCATACTGCCAAAATCGCACTCGCACTCCTCCTCCCCCCTCCTCCCAAAGCAACGTCGGACACCGGCGGTTTCTTACGGGGGAAAGCAAGTGATAACGAGGTGGGGAAGTAAGATTTGCGGGGGGGGGGTACAACGAGGTGACCTGAATGGAATCACCGAAGAGCGCGCATATTGCTAATGGGACGAAGGAGTAGACACATCGGGGCAACGTTTAGAACGAGGCCAAGTATAACGAAATACTGCAGGTGGCTAAACGACTTACTTTGTAACATTATTTGTCTCGCGCGTGGACCCCTCGCCTTCTTGAAGGGCGAGCGGGCGGGCTGGGCGTACCTATTTTTAACGATATGCACGAAGTTAGTTTAAACCTAAGTTTGACCTATCTGGCACTTTCTTCATACATGAGGCCTTACCAGGGGCGGCCACATCATAAGACGAGCGCATTCCACTACTCGCAAAGTAACTACTCGCAAATGGCCTGGATCCGCCGAGGGGGATCTACGAGAAATTGCAGAAACGGCAGGCGCATGTTTTTGCGGACGCTTGCGAGCAGGCACTTTGTGAGTAGTGGAACGCGCTCGGCGAACACTGCGATGTTGTAGGAGCAGGGCCAGCGATACCAGCCAGAGACCCTGGGGAAACCTGGGGCAAGCGAAGGGTAGAGGTATGGGCACCTTGTCCTCCTCTGAGAACCGGCGATGCCGGCGAGGAGCCGCGCTGAGCGCCGAGGCGGCGCGAGGGCGCAGAGCGCGCGGGGGGCGCCTTGGCCAGGGCGTCGACCAGCGCCCCGCTGCCCGCCTCGCCTCGCGCCCGGGGGCGCGTCGGGGGCCCCGAGCCTCCCCGCCGGCCAGGGGGGGGGCGCCAGGACCGAGCCTCCACGCCGGATCCTGGCCTCGAGGCTCGCGGTTCCGCGATCGGGGCCTCACAGGATCGAGGCTCGACAGGAGCGCGGCGCCAGGGTTCCCGGATCGGGGGCTCCAGGGTCGAGGCTCCAGGGTCGAGGTTCCAGTATCGGGGGCTCCAGGAGCGAGGGTCCACAGGATCGGAACTCCGAAATCGAGGCCCTAGGATCGAAGTTCTAGGACTGGGGTTCCTGGACTGAGTGTCCAAGACTGAATTTCCAAGATCGAGATTCCAGAATCCAGGTTCCCTGATCGAGGTTCGAGGTTTTGGGTGCCGGGGCCTCCTGCCAAGGGGGGCGCCAGTCTGGGTGCTAGGACCGATGTTTCTGGGCGTGTTCCGGGGCGAGCGAACGCAGGCTGAAGGGGTCAGCGAACCAGCTTGCGCAGTTGGTTTTTCCGACCCCACCCGGCGTTCGGCCTCCAGGGGACGTACCACATGTTCTTGGGGAAGGGGTCAAGACCTGTGGAGCCTTCGCATGGGAAAAAAAACAATTTCGTCGGACGCATCCGTCTTACGCCAGAGGACATTGATGGCCTCACGCGATGGCTCACGCGGGCCACCAAATGCGGCCCATCGCGTGGAGAACGGGGCGTTCACACTGGCATCTCACCCGAGCAACTTGCACGCGAATCATTCGCGAATCGTTCTGCCGCGCGGACATTCGCCGAATGTCCGCGCGGCAGAGCCCCCTAGATTGAGCCGCTCCACTGTACAATACACCGCGCCGGCCCCAGACAGGCCCATCCTGGCCGAACGGGAAGATCGAGGATCGGGGCTTCCTGGACGTCTTTCACCTGCTCTGGGCCTCTGGAAGCTTCTCATCGCCACGGCTGGGTCCGCCTCGAAAGCCCCCAAGGCCGGAGGGGGGGGGGGATTGTGTAAGTTCGGTGACAGCGTTGTCCTGGCTTGATGAAGGCGTTCGCAAAACATGGCCAGAGAGATGTGAAGATTCACGGCCGCCGTAAATCAGATCCCCCCGCCCAATCACCACACACTCTTGGACTACCCCGAACTTGGCACGGATGGCATGTACACCGGTCCTGGACCCAGGTATGACCCTGGCCGGCCTGGATCGTCGCGGTTGTACGGTTGGCGTTCGCCGACCCCCTCCTCCGTAAGGGTTTTCTTGTAAGAGACAGGAGCGTACTCCCACCCATCGCTCCCCTGGCTGCTCGTCTTCCAATCTTGTATATGCCGCCTGGGACTGGTAGGTGCGCCAATGAAAAGGAGGACGAAAGGAGACGTGACGGGAAAAAAAGAATAAAAGAGAAAGGGGAGAAGAAGCAGGAGAAAAGGCTGTCGACCCTAGGCCAAGCGACCCAACACCCCTTCGCACTGAATACCACGTGCCCTCAGGGTGATTTCGATGTTGTGCCCAGGAAGTCCCTAGGAGGTCATCCCCAGAACAGCGCCCCACTTCTAACCAACTGCCACTGATGTGAATCTCCCTGGGATAATTATGTTCGGGGTCCAGAAGGGATACGACATGTTCTTCCCGGATATCGCAGCATAATGATGACGATGTTGATGATAAGGAGGACCCTGGACGTTCCACAGGAATCCTAAATACATCCCTAGGAATCCTTCGGACATCCATAGGACTCCTTAGGACATCCTTGGGAATCCTTCGGACATCCAGGGTTTCCTGGAAAACGCCTTCGGACTAATTCGGAACTCTGTGGGGTTCCTTGGAGAATCCATGTGGGGAATACATAGGGTCCTTAGGACATCCATCGGATTCCTTATCAGGAAATGCAAATGATTTCTCAGGACATCCATAGGAGGAGGAGGAGAAGGACGAGGAGGAGGAGGAGGAGGAGGAGCCCCAGGACAAGTTTTCAACGAACAAATAGATTCGAGGCCTTGAACTTTATATGTGTAAAGCTAAATTGTTGCATATTGTTTTCAATGGCACATGTGTAGTCCATGGCGGCCCGTTCGCGGTGATAAAAAGAACACGGGGTAAAGAAGTTCGGGGAGGGAACGCGAGGAGGAGGAAAAGGATTCCTTGGGAAACTCGTGGGATGTCTTCAGACATCTATAAGATTCCGTAGGACACGCACAAGATTTCTAAGGGCATCCATCAGATTCCTTAGATTGCAAGACTTAGATTGCAAGATTCACGACCGCCGTAAATCATACCCCCCACCCTAGTCACCACCCACTCTTGGACGACCCCGAACTTGGCTCGGATGGCAAGTACACTGGTCATGGACCCAGGTATGGCCCTGGCCGGCCTGGATCGTCGTGGGTGTATGGTTGGCGTTCGCCGACCCCTTCCTCCGTAAGGGCTTTCTTGAAATAGAAAGGAGCGTACTCCCACCCATCGCTCCCCCGACAGCCCCTCCTCCAGTCTCGAATCTGCCGCCTGGGACTGGTAGGTGCGCCAATGAAAAGGAGGACGGAAGGAGACGGGAAGGGACAAAGTAGGAATAAGAGAAGGGGGAGAAGAAGCAGGAGGAAGGGCTGTCGACCCTAGGCCAAGCGACCCAACACCCCTTCGCACTGAGCACCACGTGCCCTCAGGGTGATTTCGATGTTGTGCCCAGAAGCCCTAGGAGGTCATCCCCAGAAAGCGCCCCATCTCTAACCAACTGCCCCTGATTTGAATCTCCCTGGGATAATTAAGTTCGGGGTCCAGGGGGGATACTACATGTTTTCTACGAGATCGCAGCATAATGATGACGACAATGATGATAAGGAGGACTCTGGACGTTCCACAGGAATCCTAAATACATCCCTAGGAATCCTTCGGACATCCATAGGATTCCCTCGGACATCCTTAGGATTCCTTCGGACATCCAGAGGATTCCTGAGCAACTCCTTAAGATTCTTTAGGAAATCTGTGGGAATCCTTGGGGAACCCATGCGGGGAATACATAGGGTCCTTAGGACATCCATCGGATTCCTTATCAGGAAACGCAAATGATTCCTTAGGGCATGCAACAGATTTCTTAGGACATTCATAAGAGGAGGAGAAGGAGCCCAGCGCACCAGCAGGGTTCGTTAGCAACTGCATGAAAAGACACGGGGCGGCGGTTTCAGGGCACACGAGCGGCGGCGAGGACAGCACAGGGGAGAGGAGAGGAGGCGAGACAGCAGAGGGCAGCAGCATGGAGGACTCGAGGGACGGGGCGGGGGGAGAAACAACAACAGCGGTAGCAGAGGCGGCCGACATCATAGAGGGCACGGGCGCCTGCCCGTAAACATTCAGCGTGCGGGTAGCCGTAGTTTCAGGAGGAGGAAAAGGAGGAGGAGGAGGAAGAGTTTAAACCCGCGTGCACACGCCCGTGAGGGAGTGCCCCTGGTCTCGGCACCCCGCGCAGGCAGAACTGCCCGAGGCGGGGTGGGCCAGCGGCCTCAGCTCACGGCGTCGTACTCCCGCTCGGGAGCCCGCGGCGCGCTCGCGCCGGCACGACGACACGACACGACGGGGGGACGGGGACGCGACACGACCGAAGACGCGCGACACGACACGAAACGAACGACAACGACGGGACGAGCCGCCGGTCCCGCCCCAGGGCGGCGAGTGCAGGGTGGGAACCCTGCACCGCCCTGGGGGATGCCACGGGACCTGGCGACCCCCCTGGGGAAGGAAGGCCGCGCTTATGGCGGCCGTCCCCAGGTGCGGGGGCTTGTGCCCTGAAGGCCCGGTGCTCCCCGCCTGCACCAGGGGGCACACAGGCCCGACCCCCACTCTTGGGGGGCCCCTCCAGGGAAGGAGGAGGAGGAAGAGGAGGAGGAGGAGGAGCCCCAGAACCAGTTTTCAATAACAACTAGATTCGAGGAAACATTGACATATTTTTGGTCGTTTCCAATACCACATGTGTAGTCCATGGCAGCCCGTTCGCGGTGAAAACAATCACACGGGATAAAGAAATTCGGGGAGGGAGCGCAAGGAGGAGGAAGAGGATCCCTTAGGAAACCCGTGAGATGTCTTCAGAAATCTATAAGATTCCGTAGGACACGCACAGGATTTCTAAGGGCATCCATCAAATTCCTCTGGACATCCATCGGATCCCTCTGGACAGCCTAAAGGGTCCCTGAGGACTTCACAAAGATTCCTTCGGAAATCCATAAGAATCCGTGGGAAATCCATTGGGTCCTTTAGGACATCCGTCGGACTCCTTTGGAGATCCATAGGAATCCTTCGGAATCCTCGCTACTCTAGCATCCTGGATTCGCACCTTCCCCTCGCGACAATCAAGTTCGGCCTTGCTCCTCCCTATCCCCCGACCAAGTCTGTATTGGCCGGGGATAATCGGCTCTCAGGGGTTCAGGGGGGGATATACTTTAATATCCAGGGCACTCGATTACGTACCCTCCAACCTCTCCCTTCTCCTCGTACTGCTTATGAAACCGACCCGCTGGCCAATCCTGGGGTCCAGCGGCATTCCTCTTCGTCTCCTCCCTCTCCTCCTCCTCGTTCTCCTCCTCCTCTTCCCATCTCATCCTCCTCCTGACGTCTGGGAAGGCCTCATGTAGGGGTCGTGCGACCCGCGGGTTCGGGCTCCATGTGCGAGGTGGCCCCTTGCGAAGAGCACGAGGATCTCAGCAGAATCATCACTCCTCGTCATCATCTTAGTTCATCCTTCCTCTCGTTGCCCTCATGATCTTACTCCTCCCCTTCCTCCTTTCTCCTCCTCCTCCTCCTCACTCCTCCTCCGACCCCCTCTCCACCCCGAGGCCTTGTGGCATGAGCGAATATACTGCACACTGCACCCGAATCGTTACCCCGACCGCTCCTCGCCCAATGTTGAGTATTTAACCGGGGACTATGGTAGGCAGGCCAATCAAAAGAAGAACAAGGGGAAACGAAGAGGATTGATTGCATTCGGCAGATTCCAACTTAAGAACGCGAGGCGGGGTACCCAGGAAACAAAGTCGGGCCCGACGGCCGCGGTATGCAATCGTCATTCGTCGGAAGGCACGAACGGGATACCCAGGGAGCACCGGCATGCGTTGGGCCTGGCGGCAGCTGTATGCAAAGTGTGTGAGGCGGGTCGGGAGTTTTTACTCATAAATCTAACAGCCCGAAAACTGTCGGGTGGGAAAGAAAGAGGGAGAAGAGGAAGAGGATAAAGAACATGCAAAAGAGCCGTTTACCCTGCAACCCAACACAGGGTGATTTTAGTAATGATGGATCCTGGTGGTCAACAGGAGGTCCCCCCCTAAATGCGCCCGCCCATGAATCTCGACCCTTCAATCTCACCCTCCTCCTCCTCCTCCTCCTCCTCCGTCTCCTCCTCCTTCTGCAACTTCAAGCACCGACCCCCTGACCAATCCTGGGGTCCGCTCGCGCCAGAACTTCTCGGCCCTCGATGCTCACTTTTCACATCCTCTTCCTCCTCAAGAAATTGGGGAGTGCTTGGGGGCTGTTTTCGGTGCTTGGAGCCTTCTTGGAGCGGAGCCTTTTGGGGCCGTCTTGGGCGGTCCTGGGTGCGGGGCCCTCTTGGGGACTTCAGGGCCGTCTTCGGGCCCTCTTAGGGGCCTTTTGGGCCATCTTGAACGCTTGGAACTCCCAACCAGCGATTTTGCTAGAAATATGCGTTTTCCAAAAGGGAATGGAACGATGCTTGTCTCTTCGGGTCCCCTTGGGGGTCCTCTTGGGGCCGTCTTGGGGCGTTTTGGGGGCCTCTTGGGCCGTCTTGACGCCATCTGGGAACGCCATCTGGGACCGTCCGGAAACCATCTTGGTCCGTGACCTATTTGGAACCTATCTGGAAACTCCAGGGGGGCCAAGGAAGCTCCAGAACTCTCCGGGGAGGCTTCGGGGTAATTAGGGAGGGTGAACTTAGTGTTGTTCAGGTGAGCCTGGTGGTTTTCGGCCCGGGAGCCCCCCCGGGCCAGGCTTTCAGCATATTCAAGATCACGCTGTGGTCGTGCAAGCTATGCAGTGTATGAGTTGTAGTGAAAGCTATGCCATATAAGCAATGTGATGCGAGCTGTGGGTATGACATCTCTGCGGTGGGAGCGATGCGGTGCAAATTATGAGCTCGAGGTGGAAGCTACGGAGTGACAGCTATCTGATGTAAGCCACGTTGCGTAAGGCATGCGGTGTGCGAACTATGCGGTGGAAGCTGTGTGGTGCAGGCTGTGTGCTGCAGGCTGGGAGCACAGGGCGCCCACGAGGCGGCTCGGACAGCAGCGTGGCGCCACCTCGGCGAACCCACCCAGCGCACGGGGGCGCCCACGCGGAGCCCACGGGGCGGCACGGGCGGCAACGTGGCGCAGCCTTGGTGAACCCACCCGGCGCACGGGGGGCGCCCGCGATGCGCCAACGAAATGCCACGGGGCGGCGAAGAAGCGTGCAGGGGGTGGCAAGGGGAGGAGAATATACTAGGGGCGGAGGGGGAGATACCAGGGGGAGAGATGGGGGAGGGGGGGAGAGAAGGGGGAGGAGGGCTGAGGAGGGAGGACGGAGGAGGGATGACATAACTAAAGGGAGAGGAGAGAGGCTGAGTGCTGAGTGAGGAGGAGGGGAAGCCTAGTAGACAGAAAGAGGGAAAAAGTAAGGGGAGGGGAGGGAAACAGATGTAGGAGGTAGGAGGGATGAGTAGGGATCATGGGAAAAAGCAAAGGGATAATAAGGGAGCATGGAAGGAGGAAGGATATAGGAAGCACGAGGGATGAGGGAGGGTTTTCTTGAGAGGCAATTGGGAGGATTCGAACATTCGGATTAGGAGCCTTGGCGAAGTCAGATGAATAATGAGAAACCCAACGCTCAATGCACTCCAAGGAGACTGGGACAGAAAAACAAAAAGAGGTATTAGAGAGGAGCGGACACCATGGAGGTGGGATGGAAGATCCAAACATCGAGACTCGACTTTTTCGAGGCCCGGACCCCTCGACTGCTCACCTGAGGCCGCTTTCGAGCCTTAACTCGCTTCTTGACCGTCCTGATGACTGGAACAAGCTTCTCGATTCTGTACCACGGGCGGGACGGAGGAATGAAGGAATCAACGGCGCGGGTGGCACGTGGCCCCTCCCGCGCGTGGCCTGCGTGCCCCAATCTCAGCACCGACTTGGCCTCGTGGGGGCCGCGGCGTTCGCGAGCGCGACGACGGGGGGGGCAACCGGCGGGGCAAGTCGTTATCGCCCGCGGTCGTCTTCGCCGCGGTCGTCTTCGCTGCGGTCGTCGTTTTCGCCCGGTCGTCGCCCGCGGTCGTCTTCGTCCGCAGTCGTTCGTTTTCGCCCGCGGATGTATGCACCCGACCATCTTCGCCTGGTCGTCTTTGCCCCGGCCCGCCCGCCAGGGCGCGTCCGCGCGGCCCGTCGGCGAGGTTCCCCCCGCTCGCTTGCTCACGACTCCGCCCGCCCGGTTTCATGCCTGCCCGCCCGATCCGCCTGCCAATGTCCGCCCGCCAAATCTGCCCGTCAGGGTCCGCCCGCCCGACCCGCCCGTGAGGGTCCGCCAGCCCAGCGCGCCCTGGACGTCCAGCGCCTCTTCGACGCGGGTCGCTGCAGGACAGACAGCGGCTCCACCCGAAAAAGCCGCTGGACGGCGCCGCGGCGGAGGCGACGACGAGTGCGGAAACGACGACCGGGATGCGACGACGACGACAACGACGACGACAACAAGGAGGATGCAACGGGCACGTCGGCGGGACGACGACTGCCACAACGGCGACAGCCGCTGCCCAGTGGCGACGGCGATCTCTGGCGAAGACGGCCTCTCGCAAAGACGACCGCTGGCGAAGACTAGCTCCGGTGAAGGCGACCGCTGACGGAGACGATCTCGACGAAGACGACCCCAGGCAAGACGACCGCCAGCGACGACGAGCGCCAGCGAAGACGACCGCCAGCGCAGACGACCACTGGCGAAGACGACAGGTGGCGAAGGCGATCCCGGCGAAGACGACCAGCGGCGAAGACGACTCATGCCCAACCAGCAAGGAGCAGAAGCGGGAGGACCAGGATGAAGGACGGATCAGAAGAAGGGAAGAAGGAAGAATAGGTGAGTGTAGGAGACAGGTGCAAGGCCAAAACTAAGGAGAGCATGGGCATGTGGAGCAACAGAGAGGAGGGAGGGAGAAGAGGGGATGTGACGTATGTGCTGAGACATGAGCGGCGAAGAGGAGAGGAATAAAAGAGGGGTAGCAAGAGGATCCTAAAAGCATCAGCTTGACCAGTTTCAGGGAGCGCACCACCGGGCTGCGTGGCCAAGCGATCTCAGTAGCTTAAGCTTGACTTTGGAACCTCATGCAGGACATGCTCTAGAACAGGAACGTACCGTAGACGGATCTAGGATCTAGCCTTTCTCCGACCTTGTCCTTCGCCGATCGCAGCGGCCGCATTGTCTGTAAACATATCCACATCGAATGCGTTCATATACGCGACGACACCCAATGTATCCGTAGAAGCTTGTGGCTAAACATTGAGACCAGTATTTGGCACAGGCCCCATATCTTATTATTCTAGACAGGGGTAGACTTGGCCCTCCCAGCTGGACTCTCTGCCACTTGCCAGCTTATCAACATAACGTGGAGCATCGCGACTCAGAAACTCAGCAACACCTACAAGTTGGATTCTGCAGTCTGAACTTTAGGTCTTCAGGACTCAACTATGACTGCTGGCATTGTTCTGAACGCACACGACCACCTCAGGTTAAATTTACTAATTGAGCACCCATCGGCCGACTCATCTATACCTCTGTCGGAGCAGGGCGACTTGAGACAACGGCAACACAAAAACGGTCCCACCTTCCTCCGAAGTTTAAAGCGCAAATTTTCCGAGCTGCGTCCAACCGTGAGGGCGCGGGGGGTCTTCGGAAGCGAACTACCGTTGTGTCAACTGCTCCTCCTCCGAGAAGTGCGTTGGATCCGAGGGGCTGCCATAAGCTCCACAGGACTGACTACCCAGAGCTCCCAGGACTTCCAACAGCGTCCTCGAGCCTCCCCCAATCATCGTAGGACCCCCCAGCGCCTCCCAAAGTATCCCAAGCCCCAAAATTTCCTGGGTCCTCCCATCGCAGAGCCTCCCGACCTTCCAGGCATTCGTACGTACTTTGTTTTTTTCCCTCGCTCCCGCTCGAAGGGCTTCCCAAGACATCCGGGCCTCGCAACACCTCCGAAGAACTCCCGGAGCTTCTGAACTTCCCGCGTCCCTCGGAGGCGCCCAGGTGCACCGCCAGGAAGGCCCCCGAAAAAACCCTACCGTCAGGGCACCGAAACTGCGGCAGGATGGTCCCAGCACTGCGCCATGGTGTCTGGGGATGGCACGGTAATGCCGGATGCAACCTCGAACCGGCCCTGAGAGCACCCACGACCGCTTTAAAATAGACAGGCGTCAAGCCACGATTCAATGATGCGAGGGAGGCCCGCGGAAGAAGAGGAACTGTTAGAGAGGCTCGGTGCCGAGAGGGATCGAAGTCTGCAATCAGCTGGAAGTTTCCAGTGGCACCGTGCGAATGACCCGCTGCCAAGTGCGAAGATCTCGCTGCGCCGAGTGCCAAGCCGCACTGGCTGCCGGGACGGCCCGCGGCGAGGGCCGAATCGCGAACGCATCGGTGCTCCCGCGCCGAGCAGCGAAGCACCGAACCCTCGGCCTTCCACCTCCCCAACACAGCTCGGCGTTCCCCGGACCCCCCCCTTTGCAGCGCGAGTAGGAGTAGGAGTAAGAGTCAAGCTAGCCAGCTCGAGCGAGTCAAGCATGGCATGCCCAGTCCCACCCGCCCTCCCACAACATAAGAAGCAAAGCTGGCACAACTGGGGGCCGAATCACACCGGCCAGCCGGTTTGGTACAGCTGATGCGGCCGCGATGGCGGTTGCCGACGGGAACTGGCGAGCGCGTGTTGAATGCCGCGCACGCATTGCCAGACGAGTCGAGAATGGCCCGGTACACCGCAGGAAGCCAGAGGTGGCCGGAGGAAGCCCGACGGTCTGACAGGACACCCCAAAGCATTTTTGTGAAAAAGCATTGGGTTTTTGATGTTTTTATGTTGAAATGCTTGCAAACACACGGTGTTCGGTAGGATTCTGACATGAACGCGCGAGTGTGCTCTTTGTGGTATTTTTTGCACAGGATTCGCGGCCTGGGTGCATGACAGAGCATCGCGAGTGCACCGCGCGATGACGTGAAATCGCTGGATTTGACAGAATTCTTAAGATTCCTATGGTTTTCCTATGATTTCAGCAAGAGAGCCCGGGCGGGAAATTTGTACAATTTTTGTGAAAAAACATTGGGTTTTTGATGTTTTTATGTTGAAATGCTTGCAAACACACGGTGTTCGGTAGGATTCTGACATGAACGCGCGCGTGTGCTCTTTGTGGTATTTTTTGCAATGGATTATCGCCGTGGACGACAGGACGTCCATGTCGAGAGGAAAAAATAAGAAAATGTTGATTTTGTATTGTTTTTTACAGGTTAGGATGGGACCCCCGGATGCGGCCCCTAATCGGGGCCTAAATAAGGATAGGAGTAGGAGTAGGAGTCAAGCTAGCCAGCTCGAGCGAGTCAAGCATGGCATGCCCAGTCCCACCCGCCCTCCCACAACATAAGAAGCAAAGCTGGCACAACTGGGGGCCGAAGTCACACCGGCCAGCCGGTTTGGTACAGCTGATGCGGCCGCGATGGCGGTTGCCGACGGGAACTGGCGAGCGCGTGTTGAATGCCGCGCACGCATTGCCAGACGAGTCGAGAATGGCCCGGTACACCGCAGGAAGCCAGAGGTGGCCGGAGGAAGCCCGACGGTCTGACAGGACACCCCAAAGCATTTTTGTGAAAAAGCATTGGGTTTTTGATGTTTTTATGTTGAAATGCTTGCAAACACACGGTGTTCGGTAGGATTCTGACATGAACGCGCGAGTGTGCTCTTTGTGGTATTTTTTGCACAGGATTCGCGGCCTGGGTGCATGACAGAGCATCGCGAGTGCACCGCGCGATGACGTGAAATCGCTGGATTTGACCGAATTCTTAAGATTCCTATGGTTTTCCTATGATTTCAGCAAGAGAGCCCGGGCGGGAAATTTGTACAATTTTTGTGAAAAAGCATTGGGTTTTTGATGTTTTTATGTTGAAATGCTTGCAAACACACGGTGTTCGGTAGGATTCTGACATGAACGCGCGCGTGTGCTCTTTGTGGTATTTTTTGCAATGGATTATCGCCGTGGACGACAGGACGTCCATGTCGAGAGGAAAAAATAAGAAAAATGTTGATTTTGTATTGTTTTTTACAGGTTAGGATGGGACCACCCGGATGCGCCCCTATCTGCCGGCCTGAGGGGGGAGTAGGAGTATATTCTAATAAGGAATAAGGATAGGAGTAGGAGGAGGAGAGGAGGAGGAGGAGGAGGAGGAGGAGGAGGAGGAGGAGGGAGGAGGAGGAGGAGGAGGAGGAGGAGGAGGGGAGGAGGAGGAGGAGGAGGAGGAGGAGGAGGAGGAGGAGGAGGAGGAGGGAGGAGGAGGAGGAGGAGGGAGGAGGAGGAGGAGGAGGAGGAGGAGGAGGAGGAGGAGGAGGAGGAGGAGGAGGAGGAGGAGGAGGAGGAGGAGGAGGAGGAGGAGGAGGAGGAGGGAGGAGGAGGAGGATTCTGCTGGAGTCTGCTGGCCTGACCTCCGAAGATGCGAAACACGCGCAACAGCGGCGAAAACGAGCCTGCCGCCTACCCCCAGGCCTGACCTGGGCGACAGGGCGGAGACTCCTGAAACGCACGACGCACGCGGCCGAAACATCGACCACCGCGTGACTAACGGCGGCGGCGCGCTCCGCGCGCCGCCGCAGGTCCCCCAGCCTCGCCCCGGCGGGGGGGTGAACAGCCGTGGGGGCTGTGAGCCCCGGGGGGAGGAGAAGAGACGAAAGGGGGAGGTGACGAGGAAAAGGGAGAGAGGAGGAGGGGAGGGGCACAGTCTCACAGCAGTCTACCCCCTTCCCCCGGGGGAGGCGCGACCCCTCCCGCCTCCGCCAGTCATGCGGCTTGGCCCCCGGTCAGGCGGCGCCGACCGCCCCACTGGCTCCGCCAGTGGGGGGGGCCCCGGCTATCCCCGAGTCGACGACGGGGCCCCCGTTATTCAAGCAGGGGGGGGGGGCAGGA